TCAAACATGAAGGAGAAATAAAGACTTTCCCAAAGAAACAAAATGCATGCTTGTACCAAAATAACTCATATAACCCATAAACATATACACCTATGTACCCCCAAAAATTTTAATTTAAAATTAAAATTAACTTTTTAAAAAGCAGGGACTACAGAGAAACCTGACCTGCTACAAAACAAACTAAAATTCATGTCATGGGATTAAGATGCACTCATTAATAATATCATCCTCAACTAAGAGGCAGAAGGAGTTGTTCTCTCAGCTAAAAATACCACGTGGGGCTGGTTGCAACTCTGGCACATCACTGCGCGGCAGTTGATAGCTCAGAATTAAATGAGTTCTTGGTGTGTCCTTCAGCATTAGCGGACAAGATATACCCAAGGACAACCAGGCTGGAAAAGGCAGGTGGCAGTTTTAGCTTTTTCTCTCTGCAACCTGAAACTTCGGATCTGAGGCCAGTGACCAATTTCTAGAACCCTGTGGGTTGACAGTGACTCAGTTCCCTCTGTAACTGGCGCTGGTGGTGGCAGCCACACCTAGCCGCCCAAAGAACTGGAAGATGAAGGTAATGGAATTGACTTCTGATGGTGCAACTAAGAAAACAAAACAGGTGGATCATAAGTGAGAAGTGCAAGGCACCTTGCTCCAGGGCCCGAACGGCATGGAATCTGAAGACAGAATGCGGGGACCAAAGCCGGTCACAGGAGATGCTCCAGGGCCAAGGCGCACACTGTCCACGGCCAGCCAGGCACCGTAGGGGAACCATACAGTGGTCCAGGATCGAGAGGAAAGGGCTTGTTGAGAAGGCTGTTCGTGGCTTTGGAGTGGGAGAAACGTACATCTCAGCTCCGGCTCAGCCATTGCCAAAGTACTGAATTGAACGTCCCTGTGCCTCAGTTTCCTCCTTGCCAGATAAAGATGGTATCCACCTCATCGGGTTACTATAGCAACACACGAAGCCTTTAACACAGAACCCGGCTCATAGCAGGGACTCCGTCAGTGTTAGTGAATAAAAATAATAGGAAAGCCCTCACCCTGATTGTAATCCTAGCCTGTGAGCTTGATTCATGGAAGTCTGTCTGGGAGGAGGTTTCTCTCACCTCCCCTGACAAGATCCGGGTGCTAAATCTACAGAATGCTGGACTGGAACCCCCCCAGTTAAGCCCCCACCCCATGCCCCCTCTATGCTACTCACACCTGCCCACCTGAGTCCCTCCCCAACTGGAATCTTCCACACCTGAGTACATTTCCGCATCTTTGAACAATCTCCTGACTTCTGGTTTGGAAAACAGCCAGATGCACTGATACATTTTAAAGATTTCCCAACTCTGTTTTTCTACTTCCAAGAAAGTCCTTCGAAAACAAAGCAGTGAAAAAGCCAAGTAACCTAGACAACTGTGAAAGGAATGCCTTTGTTAGGATCGTGAATATGTTTCCAAATATTTGGGCATATGTTCTATTCGGACTAAAAGTCTTGTGACAGAAAAGGAAAATCAGCCCCTTCAATAATCAGCGTTCTGTTTTTACTTCTTTGATAAAATAAAACCCCCCCAGAGGCTAAAAGAAGATCCCGTATCTTTATCAAAATTGTCAATATGCAATCAGTTGTTGACTAAATTTAGGCTCCTGTTGTATAATGCAAGGATGTGCATTCGAACAATAAATGCACATTTCGCCCAAAATAAAGTTACCTTGGATATAAGCTTTATAAATGATACACTAATTAATTTACCAATTAATTATAAGTAGGGTTTTTGTCTGTTTTCCTCCATCTGGTTGACAAATACCTCTTCCCACCTTCTGATGTCAACTAGCAGTACCCTGACTCGGGCTCACAGCCAGGGGACCTCGGGGGCAGCGACGCCATAGCAAGAAGCTTGTCTTTCATCGCCACCTAATGGCCATTTTCTGTTATTACAAAGTACCAAACCACTTCACACCTACTTGCTGTGCTTGCACAGGTGAAACAGTTAAGTGAGGTGGGGGTGGGTTTTGTTTTGTTTTGTTGTTTCTTTTTGAGAAAGGGTCTTGCTCTGTCACTCAGGCTGGAGTGCAGTGGCGTGATCAATGGGCTGGGCTGGAGTGCTGGGCTCAAGCAATCCTCCCACTTTGGCCTCCCGAGTAGCTGGAACTACAGGCACATGCCACCATGCCTGGCTAATTTTTGTATTTTTTGTAGAGATGGGGTCTTGCTATGTTGCCCAGGTTGGTCTTGAACTCCTGGGCTCAAGCAATCCACCCACCTCGAGCTTCCAAAGTGCTGCAATTACAGGCATGAGTCACCGCACCCGGTCCAGGTAAACACATTTTGAAAGAAAACATTTCTAGGTTGGGCACGGTAGCTCACGCCTGTGATCCCAGTACTTTGGGAGGCTGCAGTGGACAGATCGCCTGAGGTCAGGATTTCAAGACCAGCCTGGCCAACACGGTGAAACCCCGTCTCTATTAAAAATACAAAAATTGGCCGGGAATGGTGGCGGGCGCCTGCAGTTCTAGCTACTCAGGAGGCTGAAGTAGGAGAATGGCGTGAACCCGGGAGGCGGAGCTTGCAATGAGCCGAGATTGCACCATTGGATTCCAACCTGGGTGACAGAGCGAGACTCCGTCTCAAATAAATAAATAAATAATAAAAATTAGTCAAGCAAGGTAGTGCATGCCTATAGTCCCAGATACTCCGGCGGCTGAGGCAGGAATATCACTTGAACCTGGGAGACGGAGGTTGCAGTGAGAGCGCCACTGCACTCCACCCAGGCGACAGAGACACTATCTCAAAAACAAACAAACAAAAATTGTAAATATTTCCAAAGAATCTTTGCAGGAAATACAGTTCATTCTCTTCCTATACCTTTCACATTTCATTGAGAAAACTAAGAACTCAAAAACAACCACAAACCAAAGGAAGATTTCCATCCAAAGAAACGAGAGGGAGCCCACAAGGGGAGAGTGGGGAAGGGAGAGTATATTGTTCAGTGACTGGAAAAAATACTCAAATTTTTGTGTAGTTGCCTAATTAAAAAAAAAAGAAAAAAAGAAACAATTCCTTTGCATGTTCAGATCTCCTTTATACTATTAAACCAAGCCTTTGAACTTCAATTCACTTCAGATCAACATGCAATTATTCCATTTCTCTGGTCTCTTTTGGTTTTTTTCCAAAATGATTTTTCCTTATTCACTTGGGGTTTCCTTTTGAGTTACTCTTTTTTACAGATTCACAATACTGCTTAGTTTCTAGAAGCTTCCTATATTGAAAAGCATTCAGATTTTTTCATATTTTGATACCACACAGTCCATATTTGGAATTCTCCTCACTGTGCCACTGGATTGCTAACCATGGAAGGTTGAAGGGACAGCTGAAGCCAAAACTAGAAAAGGACTGATACCATCCATAGGGTACTATTGATCTAAGTGATTTTTGCATTTCAGTGATACTTTAAAGAAAATCAAACGGGAGCAAGTACAAATACCCTTCTAAAATGTTAATGTTTTTGACTACAGGAAAACAATATAAGAAAAAAAAATTCAATTTAAATAAGTGGTCTGGGTTTTTATCTTTGCTTATTGTCAGCATAGGTATTTATTTTCATTTTTTAAATATGAGAAATAGCAAGGTGGGCAGATCTCTTGAGGACAGGAGTTCCAGACCAGCCTGGCGAATATGGTGAAACCCTGTGTCTACTAAAAATACAAAAATTAGCTGGGCATGGTAGCATGTGCCTATAATTACAGCTACTCAGGAGGCTGAGGCAGGAGAATTGCTTGAACCTGTGAGGCGGAGGTTGCAGTGAGCCGAGATCCTGCCACTGTACTCCAGACTGGGCAGCAAAACAGACAAAAAAAAAAAAAGAGAGAGGAGGAAAATTGGCACCTAGCTAAATCTATCTCCCTCCTACTCTGCCACGAAAGACAGAAAAGTCAGCCCTGAGCAAGAAGGTGGTTAAGGTCTACTTGTATAGGGGGTTGTTGTAAAAATTATGCAAACTTTTCAGATAGGATAATTTAATGCAATGAAATTAAAAATAGAAATAAATTTTCAATTATATGAATTTCCATTTTACTGTGGTCTTTTACCTTAAGCAAAGGGAGAAATGTTTTTAAGGCAGACTACTTCAATGACTGGAAACAAAATAACCTAATTCTATTCAAAATGCCTTTTGTTACTAGGGTAACAAGACAAGAGCCGTTTCCCAGAGTTCATGAAAGCCACCAGACTTCTGCAACTGCAGAATACACTCTGAAATAACACCAACAGACTCTGCTACAAAATTAGGAGGCAGACTCCAAAGGGGAAAGTTTATGGCCACTCCAAGTTGAATTGCCGTAATTAACATGAAATAGGAAAACAGTACAGCAAGGAGAGGAGCCCCTCTGACAATATGGGAGCAGTGTTTGCTGCAAAAACCCAAGGAATCGCACATAGGCAGGGAGGTAGCAGGGTGAATATCAACAAAATCTTACAAGGAAGAAAAAATATCTACAGTAAACTAAGGCAGGGCAGGTGAGCGGAAATGCTATCAAACTTACCTGGTGTACAAGTCATTGGAGCTGGATCAGCTGTAGGTGAACACACACTCCTGGCCATCAGGAAGCAAAATTACAGGACCCGGCTCCACAGCCATGGCTACAAATCAATCAACAGCAGGAGACACAGAAGCAGCCACTCCCTTCAGCTCAGAAACGTGTAAAGGGTACTGGGTTGCAAATTTCTGTCCTTACCATTATCCCTCCTTACCATCATCCCCACACAAGTGGATGATAGAGTTACAGTTAGATAACGCTTCAAAGATGATGTGCACAGCGTGTAATAAAAAAAAAATACGACATAATGAGACAATCAGTGCAATTTGAAAACACGGACCAAATAATCACTGCAATAAAAGACATCGATCCCAACGCAGACAGAAAAGTGCTGCTGAAGATTTAGACTTGGCAACACACAGACAGAGTTCAGGCATATGCAAGCAGGGACTACAAATAATGAAATGATGCTCCCTGGGACAAGATATTTTTCTATTAATCTTTATTTATATGATGGTTCTCTGGAAAGCATTTCATTTTCAAACCTATTTCTGAGATAAGTAGCATAAGGCGCATCTGAAGAAATACTATCGCTGTATCACAGAGAACTTTCATGCCTTGAAATTTTTTTCAGAGTATTATTAATAAGATGGTCTAGCTATGCAGAGCAAAAAAGAAAAAAAATCTTCAAAAGCTAAGACTGTTAGGCACATGAAGGTATGCATAAACTGTCTTCACATTTAATTTCGTATGATTCGGGAGATACATCCATGTACATCTAACCAGGACAGGCAGCACAAGTCCTCAGTGAACCCCGGGTGTGCCAGCTTCAAGCCAAAGTATTCTGTTGAGTTTGGTTTGTGGAGAGACATTTGAAATGTTGCTTCATAGCTTCCATTTTCTAAAAGAAAAGGCAAATATTAGGGAAAGACTGTTAGAGAAAGACACAGAATGTTTACCACAATCTTCATCACTTAACACACAATAAAGGAAAGTGTTGTCTTTTATTCTATAAACCACTAGTCATCATTTGCTCCCCACTGAAAGGAAATTCCTCTCACAGAAAACCAAGCTAGATTTACATCCTTTCTCTGCACAAACACATATCAAACACCATAAGGAAGTCAACATCTCCAATTTTAATTTCCCACTGTGTTTTCACGGAAAATAGGTTGAACTGACAGGTTGGTCCCAGAGGGGGAGCTCTAAATGGTTCATGGCTACACCAGAGGAAGGTATTAAGTGGCCACCTTTTGGGAGGTAGAAACCAGTCTCATATTGGACATTATTTGCCCTGGGACTCAAACATCAATTTAGATTCTAGGTCAGATGTGGTGGCTCACGCCTGTAATTCCAACACTTTGGGAGGCCAAGGTGGGCAGATCACTTGAGCCTAAGAGTTCGAGACCAGCCTGGGCAACATGGCGAAATCCCATCTCTACAAAAAATACAAAAATTAGCCAGGCACAGTGGTGCGTGCCTGTAATCCTAGCTACTCAAGATGCTGAGGTGGGAGGATCACCTGAGACCAGGGAGGTCAAAGCTGCAGTGAGCCATGATCTTACCACTGTACTCCAGCCTGAGTGACAGAGTGTGACCCTGTCCAAAAAAAAAACCGATTGACTCCAACTCCAACTATGGGAAATGAGAATTCTTTCATAGTTCCATTCATTGCCTTGTTCTGTCTAAAATAGTCTTTTCAAATAAAATGCATGGATAATCTATGAGTTATGGATGGGTTTGTTTTTGGAAGCCAAATAGTTTGCAGAATACCTGACTGCATCATCATGTCGCATTTTAAAGGTTATTGACTCCCTTCGGGAGTCCGTGGCTGGGATTTAGGGTGCTGCCTGGTTTACTCCTTCACTGTCAGGCATTTTGACCTCACAACAGACTATTAGGGACTGGATTCCAAACTAGAACCCATCAGAGAAACAGGCAGAATGTGCTAGCCACAACTGTAACTTGCCTTTTTTCCTTTCTTTTTTGGAAATGGCCTATAAAGAAGCCATCTGTCTACATTAAAGATTCTCTCTCGGCTGTGCCATTTCACATCCAATATTTCTTTATAATTATCACATTAAAACTGCACAATTTTTAAAGAACTTTCCAAGTTGAGTGAACAGACATGGATTTAAACAGGACCAACGAGTCTGTTACTGTGAGTTTTGCTTTGTTTTGTTTTGTTTCTGGTATGATAATAAATATCATATTTTCATTTTCTACCATTCTTCAGGTAGAATATCTTAAGCTTGCCAGTTTTCTTTTTTTAAAAATGAGTCCCAACCCACTCCTTGGAAATGGAATTGTAACCAAGTGGCAAGCAGAGGGCCTTAAAGTAGAAGTCTGTGGGTCCAAAGCATGAAAGAAACTCCCTGGAGAGACATCAAATCGTGGGCTAGATTCACTTTCTCATTCAAGCAAACGAATGACAAAACCTTTATGGTCCAATAACAAACTGTGATGGCCACTCTCACTAGCTCCAAGATGCTCTAAAAATAGATTAAGTGTTTTTTATATTAGCTTTTTATTTATAAGTCTATTAAGCAGGGACATCCCTACTATTCAAATTGAACCCCCAGATTAACTAGACACAGAGCACTGATTGGTGTGTTTATAAACCTTGAGCTAGACACAGTGCTGATTGGTGCATTTACAATCCTCTAGCTGGACATAAAAGTTCTCCAAGTCCTCCCCAGATTAACTAGACACAGAGCACTGATGGGTGTGTTCACAAACCTTGAGCTAGACATAGGGTGCTGAACGATGTATTTACAATCCTTTAGCTAGACATAAAGGTTCTCCAAGTCCCCCACCCGACTCAGGAGCCCAGCTGACTTCACCTAGTGGATCCCACACCAGGGGCCAAAGGCGGAGCTGCCTGCCAGTCCCACGCTGTGCACTGCAGTCCTCAGCCCTTGGGCAGCTGATGGGACCCGGCGCCACGGAGTGGGGGGCGGCGCTCGTCCGGGAGGCTTGGGCTGCGCAGGAGCCCACGGCGGAGGCGGGAGCGGGAGCCGGGGCCGGAGCGGCGGCGGGAGCGGAGGCAGCTCGGGCATGGCTGGCTGCAGGTCCCGAGCCCTGCCCCGTGGGGAGGAAGCTAAGGACCCACGAGAATTCCAGCACAGTGCCGGCTGGCACGGGTGCTGAACCCCCCACTGCCAGGGGCAGCGGCGCCGGCTGGCCACTCCGAGTGCGGGGGCCCGCCAAGCCCACGCCCACCTGGAACTCGCGCTGGTCGGCGAGCGCCGCGCGCAGCCCGGGTTCCCACCCGCCCTTGCCTCTCCCTCCACACCTCCAGGCAAGCAAAAGGGAGCCGGCTCTGGCCTCAGCCAGCCCAGAGAGGGGCTCCCACAGTGCAGTGGCAGGCTGAAGGGCTCCTAAAGCGCTGCCAGAGTGGACTCCGAGGCCGAGGCAGCGCCGAGAGTGAGGGCTGCTAGCACGTTGTCACCTCTCACTATTACTAAGCAAAATGTGCTGCAGATAGCATACAATACAGTAACTAGCAGCTTTTCCACCCCAGAATCCTGTAGCTACCTGGAGAGGTGGAAGAAATGAAGCATGAAAAGGCCTAGGAATCTTCCTCTTCTCCAGGCTCCTCTTCTCCTTCTGCAGCTTCCTCCTCCTCCTCGGCTTCCCCTTCCGCACCCTCCGTAGTTGTTAACTCCGTCTTATTTTCACAAAAATTACGTTAGTATTAAGGAGCGTAAGGGCCAAGGATACAGTGAGAAAAAGACTGTAAAAGGCTGGACTAGAGGTCACAGCCTCCCACACCCCACCACACAACACACAAATACACATACCACACATGCCACACAAACACATGCCACACACATACCCCATACACATACCACCCAAACACACACCACAGAAACACACATGACACAGCACACACACCCCCACACACACCACCCACACATCCACACACACCACATACATACCACACGCACACACCAGACCACACACACCACACACATCACATACCACACACAAATACACGTATGTCACATATACACCACACATACATCCCCTCCACACCACACATATACACCAAACCACACACATCACACACATACCACACACCAAACACACCACACACCATATATACACCACACACAAATACACATATATCACACATACACCACAGCACACATACATACACACACACAAAAAAAATCCTGCTAAACACAGACTCCTCAATTTGGAATGGTGCTTTAGAATGATACGCTAATTCTAACAGGTTTTATAATCTCTCCTAAGCGTACAGTCTCCACTCATATTAACAAACCATTCTCAGCAAATAACCTTTACGAATTCAGAAGGTGTATATATATAGTTAGAAGAATAAAATACAAAAAGAATCAGCAAATCGAATTTTGTCAGAAAGGATAAGCTGTTAAATGCACAAGTTGGTTATATTTTCTTGTAACAAGCTAATTTCTTCAAGCAAAATTTATCAGCAACCTACATATATAATCTGGAATTTCTTCCAAATTAACAGCATGTTTTTTATCTTATTTTTAAAAATCTATTTTGAAGCTGGCCTAGCAAGAGAGAAACAAAAGAAATAATTATTGGAAAGATATAAATAATGAGAAATCATGGTGTAGAATATACTAGAAACAATCTTTGGGTCTAAGAAGAGGGGTTGGTTTGATATATTAACATTTAAAATAATGAAGCAGATCTATACTTAATACCTCCCCAAATACAGGCACATTCCATGAAAAAAAGGAGACTACAAGAGTATTCATCAAAAATTGATGGTGTGTGTGTGTGTGTGTGTAGCTAGAGTGGTTATGTGTGGGTAACGAGGGTTAAAAGCTATGTTCATTTTCCTCTTCTATCTGCATTTTTTAAATTTTCTATAAAGATCATGAATTTTGTCATTTCAAAAGTTAACAAAAGTTACTTTGGGGGCATTTCTTTTGACATTTGGGACTCTCTTTAATGTTGATGACCTTGTGCTGAAATATCTAGACAATACATGTAACTTAGTAAATTATTCTCCCTACCCTTGTGTTCACAATTTTAAATTAATTCTCTAGCATTTTAAAGTGATTAATCCAGGCCCAGTGCGGTGACTCACGCCTGTAATTCCAGCACTTTGGGAGGCCGAGGCAGGTGGATCACTTGGGGTCAGGCGTTCAAGACCAGCCTGGCCAACATGGTGAAACCCCATCTCTACTAAAAATACAAAAATTAGCCAGGTGTGGTGGCGCGTGCCTGTAATTCCACCTACTCAGAAGGCTGAGACAGGTGAATCACTTGAACCCAGGAGGCGGAGGTAGGAGTGAGCTGAGATCACACCACTGCACTCCAGCCTGGACGACAGAGTGAGACCCTGTCTCAAAAAAACAAAAACAAACAAAACACAACAACAAAAAAATAAAGTGATTAATGCAAAGATGTTCAAAAACATCAACATAAGTAGGAATCCCTCCCTCAATGAAAACACCACTAACCACCATGCAGGATTCCTAAACCCAGTGCATTCAACAGCGTGGAAAAGGACGAGGAGCAGGCATCTCCAGCCAGTGCCCTGGCCTGGCCTGACATCAGTGAGAAACCACAGAAGATACCTTCACCCAAGGGGGCTCAGAACAGGGTCAAGAGCCGAGCCCTGTTTCTCTCTCCACCTTCCTCAGACAAACTGATCTCCAACTTACTTTCCTTCTCAGCAGGTTAAAGGAGGATTTTCTGGGTGTGTGGGTTGCATCACTCTCTTATGTCATTAAGACCGTGCCTAAAGCTGCAATCCTCCCACCTAAAAGATGTTTTTATTAAGCAGATTAAGCACAGCTGTTGAAGATGGTCAACTGTACCTCTTCTGTGGCTGTCTCTCCTTCTTCTTCCTTATATCCATAAATCAAAATTAAAGAAAAAAACATAATTCAAGTAAGCTTAAAGTCAAATCTGAAAATCAAGCAAACTATAATAAAAAACAAGCTAATCAAAATGAACAACATATTAGTTTATCCATAAAATAAGTAAATAGCAAAGATATGATAGCTGGGTGATCCCTACTTCTTTCATACCTTATATTTCAAGCTCTTAAAATAATTGTGAGATTAAAGACAGTTTCCCATCACTTGAACTCTTGAGAAAATGTAATTAATTATTAATGCTGCTTAGTAATACATTTAATTCTATTTCTAAAGCATACCAAAGATTTATAGCGCTATCTAGTGAAATTCAGACCATATGCAAGTAATTTAAAAATTTGAACAAAAATGTCTTTTCTGACTTTATGCCCTTATAACTATGTCTTTATTTCAGTTTTGAACAAATTAATAAAAGTAGGTCAAAAACTTTTCCTCTATGAGAACAAAATGATAACATTTCCGAATCACATAGTATTTTAAATACTGATTTCTGGGTAAAGAAAGAAACTCGCAAGGTAAGAGTGGGTGGGGTCACCCAAGGCTCCAATAGTCTCTATTGTGCAAAGCAACAGCCCACTGGAATTTCTGTTTCCCCCAGACCAAAGCAAGAGAACCAGGTTACGGTTCCTAAAAATGCCTCTAAGAAGAAAACAAAAGCTTTTCCATCCCTTCCCAGAATGGTCCCATAAACCTCCCTGGAGCCAGAGTGCCACAATTGCTTTAATTAAAGAGAGAGATGAGGTTCTTAAGAGCAGTCCCTAAAAATTCCTAATGCCTTTCAACTCAGGCAGTGAGCTCACGGAATCATCGACAGGGAGCACTGAAAGAGATCTTGCAGTCACATACATTCTCACCCAGCACCATGTTTATACAGATGAGGACACTGAGGCCGCACAGGGAAGTCATTTGCCAAAGTCAAAGGTCACAGGACAAGGAGTCAACACAATCAGGACTCACTGCAAGTCTACTGATTCCTAATGAAGTGTCCTTCTTATACTACCAGGCAGCTTCTCAAGATTAATAATGGAAAAATCAAAATCACAGAAGGTGGCAGAGTGCAATAGCTCATGCCTGTAATCCCAGCTCTTCGGAAGGCCGAGATGGGAGGATAACTTGAAGCCAGGAGTTCAAGACCAGCCTGGGCAACATAGCAAGACCCTCCTCACCCCATCTCTATAAAACATGTTAAAAATTAGCCAGGCATCCAGAGGCAGAGGCGAGAGGATCACTTGAGCCCAGGAGTTTGAGGCTGCTGTGAGCTATGATTGTGCCACTGCACTCCAGCCTGGGTGACAAAATAAGACCCTGTTCATAAAATAAAATTTTTAAAATCACAGAAGGTAGGCCGGGCACAGTGGCTCGTGCCTGTAATCCCAGCACTTTGGGAAGCCGAGGCAGGCGGATCACCTGAGATCTGGAGTTTGAGACCAGCCTGACCAACATGGAGAAACCCCATCTCTACTAAAAATACAAAATTAGCTGGGCATGGTGGCGCATGCCTATAATCTCAGCTACTCGCGAGGCTGAGGCAGGAGAATCGCCTGAACCCAGGAGGCAGAGGTTGGGGTGAGTCAAGATTGCACCACTGCACTCTAGCCTGAGCAACAAGAGCAAAACTCTGTCTAAAATAAATAAATAAATATCACAGAAGGCAAGTTATAGAGGATCTAACACACTCCCACATCTCCTGGCCCAAGCTCATGTTTTTAGCCATATCCAGAAAAATACCTTCATAGTTCTGAGACGGGCACTGAACCTGAAAGCCTGACAGTGCCGGCCAGGTCTGAGTCAGTCCAAGAGGACTTTTTCAGCACTGGGAATCTTCAAACTAACCTTTACGTTAAACGCCACTGGTGACACCCCAAGTTTTGGTGCTCAAATAATGTGCAGAAGAGTCTGGCAGTTGCTGCAAAATCCAGGTGTTGCTTTCACAGTGGTGTGTTGATTGTGCCTCTTTAATCCTGCCTAATCCTGCCCATGTCTCGCCCCTCCTCTGCCATGACTGCCATCTTTGCTCAGTGGGTTGCTGAAGGAAGATCCTAAAGAGCGATTATCACCTCCTCTTTTCTTTCTCATCTCCAATCTGTGCTCCAGACTGCAGCCAGAGAGATCGTTCCAAAAAGCACCCAACCTTACTGTGCTACCCTCATCTTTAGAAACTTCCATCTCCTCAAGATACTCTACCCTCCTGATATGGTTTGGCTGTGTCTCCACCTAAATCTCACCTTGAATTGCAATAATCCCCACGTGTCAAGGGTGGGGCCAGGTAGAGGTAACTGAATCATGGCGGCGGTTCCCCCATACTGTTCTTGTGGTAGTAAGTCTCACAAGACCTGATGGTTTTGTAAATGGGAGTTCCCCTGCACAAGCCCTCTTGTTTGCCACCATGTAAGACATGGCTTTGTTTCTCCTTAGCCTTCTGCCATGATTGTGAGGCCTCCCCAGCCATGTGGAACTGTGAGTCCATTAAACCTCTTTCCTTTATAAATTACCCAGTCTTGGGTATTTCTTTATTAGCAGCGTGAGAACAGACTAATACACCTCCTTAGAAGAGTGAAAAGGCTGTTTGGCTCTGCGTACCCCTCTGGCCCCATCCCTTACCACTCTACTTCAGCCATCCTGAGTCACTTGCAATTTTCTCACATTGGCCACACCTTCCAGGATATGCTCAAAACATTTCCAAGGAGACTTTCCTAACCCACAAGGTTGAGTTAAGGACCTTCTCACTTGTTCCCATAATCATCATTTACTTACCTGTCTCCCTCACTAGTCTACGTGTTTGGGGGCATACCCTGTGTCTTATTCATTTTTGGATCTCTGGGAACTGTCTGGCCCCTCCAGGCCACTGTCTGGAACCAACAGGCAAGCTCAATAAATATATGTTAGGGATTGGATAGAGGAACACATGAAATCTATTAGTAACTCTTTAGATCTCAAAGAACTTTAATTTTCTTCTTCACATAGGATCAGAATAAAATTCATTATATGTACCATAGAATTATTGATTATGTAGAGTTTTACATTCTTCTGAATCCAATTATTTTTATTAATTATATTCAGCTGAAACAAATGAATTAACCAGATACACACTATTAAAAATAAGGTCAACCCGAGTTAATGGGTGCAGCACACCAACATGGCACATGTATACAGATGTAACAGACCTGCACGTTGTACACATGTACCATAGAACTTAAAGTATAATAAAAAATATATAAATAAAATAAGGTCAACCATAGAGCTGGCCTGGAGGGCAGTAAGAAGTCTTACAGGAATGTAAGTCTCAACTTTTATAGTTAGCTAGCAACAACCATGGAGGAACCTAGCACTCTTTTTTTTTTTTTGAGATGAAGTTTTGCTCTCATTGACCAGAATGGAGTACAGTGGCACGATCTCAGCTCACTCTGCCTCCTGGGTTCAAGCGACTCTCCTGCCTCAGCCTCCCGAGTAGCTGGGATTACAGGTACCCGCCACCAAGCCTGGCTAATTTTTTGTATTTTTAGTAGAGACAGGGTTTCACCGTGTTGGCCACGCTGGTTTCAAACTCCTGACCTTCAGCTGATTCACCCGCTTCGGCCTCCAAAAGTGGTGAGAATACAGGTGTGAGACACCGGATCTGGCCCCTAGCACTCTTTATCAATATTTGAATTGACCTTAATATCTTAAAAGATATGTTAAGCAGGGAAAGTGACTGCTCAGAGAATGCATAAAAATACTTAGCCTCAAAAAGATAAGTAAGCTTGGAAGAACTTTGGATATTATCATCACAAGCTCCCCCAGAACATAAGCTCTGTGGGAGCAGTGACTCTGTCATTTTCATTGCTCCCTCCACAGTCCCTGGAATCCTGCCTGGCATGTGGCAGCACTCAATCTGTCCATAAAGTGTTGAATGGCTGCATTTATGTAATGCTACTCCAGCTCAGCTTCAAATCCCCCATAGAATGAGGTGGGATATATTAGTTTTTAAAATAATGGCTGGGTGTGGTGGCATATGCCTGTAAACCCAACACTTTAGGAGGCCAAGGAGGGAGGATCACTTGAGGCCAGGAGTTTGACACCAGCCTGGTCAACAGAGCAAGACCCCATCTCTACAAAAAATGTAAAAATTAGCTGGGTGGGGTGGCCTGTGCCTATAGTCCCAGCTACTCGGGAGGCTGACGTGGAAGAATCACTCGAGCCCAGTATGATTATGCCACTGCACTCCAGCCTGGGTGACAGAATGAGACTTTGTCTCTAAAAAAATAAATAAATAAAAATAATAATAAGCTTCCAAGCTTGGTTTACAGAATTATAAAATACTGGAATTAGGCAGATCCTTAAAAGTCATCTTTGTAAAACTGAATTGACTTTCATGGTTGGCAAGTAATTATATGCACAAAAGCATTTTTTAAGATAATGATAATCACCCAGTCAATTAAGCCAGGCTCTCACATAATCATCATTTGAGGAAGCACACACCTTAAAGTAATTTCACCTTGTTTTTCAGAGACAGCCAGAAGAGAGAAACCTCAGAAGTGGGAAGTCTTAGAACCTTTTACAGCAGCTATTTTTGTTGGAAACTTGGCCAGAAAAGCAGACTGCAGAGGTGGCGAGTGGCCAGAACTAAGGACAGGTGTCAGTGGTGGTGAGTGCCAGGCAACGTTCAGTGGGAACAGGTGGCAGGCGTGGGAGATAGTGAAGGGCTAGCCCAGCGTGTCCTGCAAGGGAAGCCAGCCTCAGAGTGGCTGGAAATGAGAGGACAGAGGGAGAGTCCTCTCGAGCTTCAGGCACCCCAGGAACCCAGCCTGAGACCCGTGACTCCTCCCACAAACCTACATCAATGTTTGTCCCTTGAAACTTTTCTCAAGACTGCTATTGGAGGATGCCAAGAGGGGTGGTTACAGACCATAATCATATTGTCTGTCAAGCAAGGTCCTCATGACTTTCAGATCGGATGACGGGACTGACAAAGCACACCATTTTAAATAATTGTACGTTGATCAAAAAAAGAAACTAAACCTGCACAAGGTACAATGTTTCCAGCATTTTCTAAAGCTCTCGTGATGTCCCAGTCTGCAATTTGTTTCTTACAGAATGCCCAGAAGCTGAGCTGACCTTCTGTTTTCCTCCTTTACTCCTGAGGCGATGGTTCCTTAGCCCCTCACCCTCCCTGGGTCATCAGGCCAGCCCCATGAGGTGCCCTATTTCTTCAAGTTACACTAAGATCTTCCTAGGCATGAAGTCACGGTCTTTTCAGTGTTCGCCCTTCTGACCTCCCAAGTCCTCCTGCCTCAATCCATTATCAAGGAGAGAATTTACATCCTGGCATCTTGCGTTTAAGAACCCTGGAGGTTGAGGAGGTGGTCAGGGGAAGTCCACATTATTAAAGAAGATAATAGTTTTTGTTTACATTTCTGTTGTTTTTTTAAATCAATGTCAAACATTAGGTAAATATTCCTCTCCATTAAATGGAATTGTATGAGCGCCTACAAGTGTGTGTCGAGTGTGCATGTTTCATAGCAGAGATCAGATGAGCCTGTCCCTGACTTAGCCACTTGCCTTGTTTATCACTCAGCTGAACATTGCCAGGTTCCGGAGAAAGGTTTTTTGCTTGTTCTGTGTTTTTACTGCACACATTACAATTGTTTTCAACACATAAATGAAGGCAGTTTTTTTTAAAAAAAAAAGGTAAAAACTTGATATGGTTTGTCATCTAGTTGACAGAAATGCACCAATGCATCGCATTTCTGGTTTCATTATTGTATTAAGGCTAGATGAGATGTCACCATTTGGGGAAGTTGGGTGAAGGGCACACAAGACTCTATTATTTTTGAAACTTCCTGTGAGTCTATAGTTTTATCAGAATAAAATGTTTAAAACTATTTCTATTCCTTCTCCTAATAAGCATGGCTGAAAGCCAGGATATGAATTGTGACTTGCTCTTTCTGCTCCACAAAGCTGAGGGGGTGGAGGGGTCAGAGTAAGAGTTATTTTCTCTTGCCACACACCACCTATTTGTTCTGGCTTTCCACCCCCAAGGAAGAAAGTACAGGCCCTGGTTTTCACAACCCTAGGCTAATGGGGTGATAAAGCTAGGAGGTACCTGAAGACAAAACAAAACAAAAAAGAGCTTGGAATTGGCAAGATGGAGGTGGCCAGACTGAGGAGGAAAAAAGGATTTTCCAGGAGGGGTACTGCCCAGGCCCTGCTCGCACACAGAAACAGAGCCAGGGACCACTGGCACATTTAAGTAACACAAGGCACTCTGCACAGGCAGCAGCGTCCGTGGTCAGAAGGCCAGCCACTGTGAAAAGCTAGTCTGTGTCCAGCCAGAGCAGAGGGTCTGGCCTGTGCCAAGGGACAGACAGCAGAAACACCACCATAGACAAATATCCAGCACCCAATCCCTGCCCAGTCACCATTAACGACCCCGGGATGGCTGTGAGACCCTCAGGAGGACAAAAACACCCCACCCAGCTGGAAGCTCCTGCCAGCCATGAGGTGGGCACACGGAGCTGATAGAGGACTGTAAGGAAATAAAGGAAGCTGATATTCCTTGCCCGGGAGTCTTAGGAACCAAGTGTGGGCCCACGAATATTCTAAACTTTATATCCACTGCAGCGTGTTGGTTAAGGAGGGAAGCCCAGGGAAGCGCCTCTGTTTTATCCACAGTGAGCCAAGAGGAGCAAAAAGAAATCGCCTCAAGATGGTTTCAACAGAGCTAGGCATTTTAAAGCCTTGGATTTACCGGAGGTGTCATACCTACATGAAACTACTAGGATGTGTCTCATACTTTCAATGTTCAAAACACACACAGCTCTCCCTTGTCTTTCCGATTCCCTATCAGCCTGTCTATGACTGGGGTGCCCTGGGAGGAGAGATGCCCTTACAAAAAGACCATGATATCCTCCCATCTCAGCTTTTTTTTTTTTTTTTTTTTGAGACAGGGTCTGACTCTATTGCCCAGACTGGAGTACAGTGGCACGATCTCAGCTCACTACAACTGCTGCCTCCCGGGTTCAAGTGATCCTCCCATCACAGCTTCCCAAATAGCTAAGATTACAGGCATGCGCCATCACACCAGGCTAATTTTTGTATTTTTAGTAGAGACGGGGTTTTACCATGTTGGCCAGGCTGGTCTCAGACTCTTGACCTCAAGTGATCTGCCCGCCTCTGCCTTCCAAAGTGCAGGGATTATAGGCGTGAGCCACGTGCCTGGCCCCATCGCAGCTTTTAACAACAAACCAAAGACCGTCAAAACAAGCCAGCAAGTTCTTGAAGCACAACATGCAAAGCATTCTAAATATCTAAGTGGTGTTTGTCTCCTTCTTAAATTTTAAAGTTCAGCCTATTTTCATATATACTCATAAGGGTTAATCATGTTTTTACATTTCTCATCTGTTTACTGACAATCACAGAGGGTTTTTCTAATTTAATTGAATTAAAGTAAATCAAAGAGCATGTGTTGGTTTTCAAACCGGAAAAAGTCAGAACCTGTCTTTCTGTAGGACAAATAGTATTAAAGAGTTGAAAAGTGAATTTGATAATATGATGTTAGCAATATATTCATCTAAAATAAAAATATTTTTCACTTGCGGTCATTTCTTCACCATGACCCACACAAAAATAACAAAAAAAATGTTTTTTTTAATTCCTATCAGGATTCACAAGGTTATAACTGACTCTGTCAAAGGCTCACAATTTTAAAAAGTAGTAGCAAAGAGAACGTAAAAGCTGGGTGATTCATCACTTCATAGAACTAACACAGCCCAGTGGCTGAGAAGCTGAAGCAATGCCCACCCTGGCTGCAGGGGGCAGGATCTGATTATAAACATGCTACTTCCCTGCTGGTCTCACAGGAGAAAGGGGCTGGGGTGTAATGCTTTTCATCCTTGTCTCTATGTCTTAAAAGAAGCAAACTCAACTTCAAAGTATTCATCAATATGACTGTAAGGGTGCATTAGGCAACTCATGAAAAGTTCAAATTGTGAAACAGATTTTTTTTTTAATTACAAGATAATGAAATTGTCACTATATTTAATTTTTAAAGTATTGTTTCTGAATTACATAGGCTGACATGAAACACCATCTAACTTCTAGGTCAAGATTGAAGATTTTGTCTTTCTTTAAAACAAAAACTTCAGAGTTGTAATATCAACTTTTGAAATAGCAGTCTACTTCAAATATAAGTCTAAATATCGGGAATTTCCTTCCCTAGCCCCTCCGAATTTAAATTCTTTAAGGTAAAGACAAATCGATGCCCAGCCCCACACCCCTTTTTCCATAGTGTGGGTGTGGGTTTCAGCCCCTTTCTAGCCACATTTTATCTGGTGAATGAGGGTCCAGCTCTCATAAAAGCTCCCACACCTCTCCCAGAATAAATAAATTAGCAAACCATCAGGGTTTGAAAATAGTCTTTGCTACAACTGACCCAGTGGAGAAGGCCTCTGAGATTCTCCTCCAAAGAGGCCCAGACCAATGCCTGCACCCCATTCCCAGCCCCACCAGGCTCCTTCCTTGGCACCTGGCTTCCCAGCATGTTTTCAGAACTCCTTGAAGAAGTAGCCCATCCCATCCCCCATTATCTCAGCTTGGCACTCACAGAAGCACAGTGTTCCCCAACATTGCCCACTCCTTATCCTGCTGCTCCTGCATGGGAACCCCTTTAGAATTAATCATGTGACTTCACCAGGATCTGCTATTTCCCTGATTGAACTTAACTGAGTGTCAGTTTCCCTCCCCAAGGAGTCCTTTTGATCCTCAAGTTCCTGTTGTCTTCCCCCAGATATACTGAACCCCCTTAGCTCTGTTTCCCCACTGGGCAGGGCTCCTGGGTGGGTGTAAGCTAAGAGTCTGTCATTAATCACGACTAAGCAGAAAGGGCCCTTGTTTATAAAGAGCATGCACCTAACCCAGCCATAACACCACCACAACAAATTCTCCAAGCCTTGTCTAACCAGCTCCCTCCAGGCCCAGGTTCAGGCTCCTTCGTCTTCCCTTTAGCCCTCTCTGCACCAGGACCCCAGTGCTTAACACATCAGTAGAAATTACCTGCTTCCTCCCCAGCTAAACTCGCAGCTACTCACTCTCTTTCTGATTGCTTGTGCCCAGCGTCAAGTTGTACAAGCCCTATAAAAGTCTCTATTGAACAGCAGAGAATCCAGTCAAACTGATGTGAAAAAGTGAACACTCACATTCTTCTCCTGGGCTTCAGGGAGGTTGCCCGCATCTTCATTGCCCTCTTTTTGTGCCTCAGTTTCTCCACCTTCTTCAGCCTTCTCTGATCCCTGGTCATAAAGGAGACCCAGGATATGAGCTCCAAAAAACAAACAACAACAACAACAAAAAAACCAGGCCACATATGCTGTGGCTTTCTTATTTAGACACACAGTATATAAATGAAGCAAACATAGACTGCCCACTCATTAGGTCACTTAGCAACCAGAGCATAGGATCTCCAAACCCCAAAATGCCGACTGGGATGAGTCAAAGATACAACCTATGTGCGTTGCAGGGTAACAGACTGCCTAAGTGAGGAGTTTCAATTCACCCACTTCAGGCTGATGAGGAGAGATTCAAAGAATTCTACCTTCACACAGTGTTTTCTCTTGCTTGTATGGAGGGAGGCTTATAATTTTATAGATTAAAAATTAAGAAGATAGATAAGGTAGAAAGATAAAGTAGACAGGTAAACATACATAGATGGATAAATGGATGGATGCATGGACAGATGGATGGATGGATGGATGGATGGATGGATGGATAATGTACAGAGACAGATAGATAAACAGACAGATGGAGGAATGGATGTATGGACAAACATGGGTAGGTAGGCAGGCAGGCATACAGACACAGATAGATAGATAGATAGATAGATAGATAGATAGATAGATAGATAGATAATAGATGGATGGATGGATGGATGATAATATGGTTAGGCTTTGTGTCCCCACTCAAATCTCATCTTGAATTATAATCCCCATAATGGTAATAATCCCCACATGTCAAGAGAGAGACCAGATGGAAGTAATTGAATCATGGGGCGGTTTCCCCCATGCTGTCCTCGTGATCGTGAGTGAGTTCTCACGAGATCTGATGGTTTCATAAGGGGTTCTTCCCTCTTTGTTCAGCACTTCTCCTTCCTACTGCCTTGTGAAGAAGGTGCCTTGCTTCCCCTTCACCTTCTGCCACGATGGTAAGTTTCCTGAGGCTTCCCCAGCCATGCTGATCTGTGAGTCAATTAAACCTCTTTCCTTTATAAACTACCCAGTCTTGGGCAGTTCTTTATGGCAGTATGAAAACAGACTAATATGGATGGAGAGATACAGACAATAGATGATTGATTAGATAGATGGATAGATAATAGACTGATGGGTGGATGGATAGAGAGAGAGAGAGAGATATTAGGACGAAGTAGACATTCTGAGGAAGCTAGCATGGGGACGATGGCTCGAGACACCAGCGCTTACCTCTGTGGTGCTCGGTGCCTCTCCCACTACATCGCCATTGGGAAGGGACGATGCTTCCTCGGGTGATTTTGTCACCTGCATTATGTAAAGTGAGAGTGTTTGAGAATTTTCTTAAGGACAACAGCTTGCATTTCAATGTCTTAACTATTCAAACTATATTTGTCTTCATCCTTAATCTTATCTTCACTAAGTAGGTAGGGCAGTCATTACCACCCACACTTCAGAGACAGGAAAATAAAGGCAGAAAATGTCACACTGTGGGTTAGGGGAAGGACTAAGTCTACACCTCCTCCCTGATGCTCTTTCAACTTACAAAATGGGTTCCAGCCTTTTAAAATATCAGGTTGTTTTTATTACAGAGGCACTGCAAGTTCGTGGGTGCAAATTAAGCCACACACACACCCTCCAATCCCACCCTCCTGTGATAATCAGTATTAAAAATGTGATAGGGTACCTCTGCATCCTAATACATAAGGCTATTTCAGGGGGGAATTGATTGTCATTTTTCTTTTATTTTTGTGATTTTGAAACAGAAATGGGAACACAGTTTGCATGACTTCATTTTTAGCTCAATGTACCATGGACATTTGTCCAACTTAATTCATATGATCGATCCTATTGAATCATTATTTTTAACATATGCTTCATATTAAATATATAATAATTTATTCATACATTCTCCAGTCAGTGGGTGTTCTGAATGTTTGTATGTTTCTTCCACTACAAATAACACTATACTAAACTGAATAAAATGGTGAGGTTATTCTTACTAGTTTTCAAAAAGGTGGCAGCAATTCATATCCCCACAGTGATACATAAATGTCTCCTTCTCCTTTATCCTCATAACCAGCGAAGATGATTGTTATTTCTAATGTTTACCAATATGTTGAGGAGAAAATAGAATTTCATTTTTTGTTTCATTTATACATTTATCATTATTGGAAATAAGGGCATATTTTAAATAAATTTTTAGCTATTTCTATTTCCTCTCCAAATAATTATCTTTATATGTTTTGCCCATTTTATTTGATTTTTTTCTTTCTGTAGACATTGCAGTGAATGCATTGCTCATTTTTACTTCAGTTGTTTGTTCTTTACTATCAATTTTTAGAGTATCTTTCTATATTAAAAATTTTAACCCTTTGTCATGTTACAAATGTTTCTCTCCAGTCTATAGTTTTTACAGATTTTGTTGTATTTTTTTTTAGTTTTCAGTCTTTTTATGGGCAAATTTATCTAACTTTTATTCTCTAAAATATCCTTCTATTACTTTACATTGTTATTAATATCTAGAGCTTTAATCCATCTGGAATTTAATTTAGTATATGATGTAAAGTCAATGTCTACATTTGTGTTCTGCCAGATAGATGGGAAATTTTTCCTATATTATATATAAACCATCATTTCCCATTAAATCCAGATTATATATTTGTCATTTATTATAATATATACATAAATTTATGTTTCTACACTATCCTACATATAAATACTGATACAATGAAAATAAAAATTAAAATATTTTATATAAACGTATATAAATAAAAATATATTTCTCAGATATACATATAAATATATACTGCTTTTATTATTGTAGCTTATAGGACATATTTTAATATTTGGAAAGTCAAGTTGTTACACAAAGTCTGTTTCAAAATTTTCTTGGCTCCTCTCAGACAATTATTATTCCAAAGACATTTTAAGATAATGTTTCTTTAGTTCCAAAAGTTAAAAAATAGGATTTTGCTTGAAATAGCACTAAACATTTATTAATTTGGAAAATGTTCATTCCTTGTTGTTAAGTCATTCTATCCAGGGACATTGAAGGTTTATTTCTTCAGTATTTGTTAGTGTCCTTCAGAATAAAATTAAATTATGTTCTTCATAGAGGACCTGTATGTCTCTTGATAAATTTGTTCCTAAACATTTTACAGATTTTTATCACTACCATGAATGGGATATTTTTCCTTCTTACATTTTAACTTACTACTTATAATTATTAATGTAAACAAAACCTACAAATTTTTGTATATTCTTCTTTCATCAAGAAACTTAATAAACCATCTTACCAATTCTAATGCATTTCACTAGAGTTTTAAAGATTTTTAGGCATGTGATTATATCATATGCAAATAAAGATAATTTTTTTTTTTTCTTTGAGACGGAGTCTCGCTCTGTTGCCCAGGCTGGAGTGCAGTGGCCGGACCTCAGCTCACTGCAAGCTCCACCTCCCGGGTTTACGCCATTCTCCTGCCTCAGCCTCCCGAGTAGCTGGGACTACAGGTGCCCGCCACCTCGCCCGGCTAGTTTTTTGTATTTTTTAGTAGAGACGGGGTTTCACCATGTTAGCCAGGATGGTCTCGATCTCCTGACCTCGTGATCCGCCCGTCTCGGCCTCCCAAAGTGCTGGGATTACAGGCTTGAGCCACCGCGCCTGGCCAAGATAATTTTTAAATTTTATCTATGTCTTGTATACATAAGACTTATTACATTATTACAATAACTACAGCTCCTAAAACAATGTTTAGTAATATGGTGATAACAGGTATGCCTATCTTGCTTCACATTTTAATAGAAATGCTTCAGTATTGCATGGTTCATTATATTTATAATTACCTCTGATAAATGTATTTTATATTTTAAGTTGTTTCCTTCTACTTATATTTTAATCGATTCTTAACTAGAAATATCTGATAAATTATATCAAATATCTTCTTGGCACTTATAGGTGCAATCATATGGTTTTTCTCCATTAATCACTTCATGTAATGAATTATGGCAACTGAATACATTCTGTTTGATGATGAATTATCTTTAATTCACTTCTGAATATATTTTGCTAGTATTTTATTTAGACTTTTGAGAAGGGGCATGGTGGCTTACATCTGTAATCCCAACACTTTGGAGGCCTAGGTGGGAGGATCACTTGAGGCCAAGAGTTCAAGACCAACCAGGGCAACATAGCAAGATCCTTTCTCTACAAAAAAAAAATTTATTAGCAAGGCATGGTGATGTATGCCCATAGTACCAGCTACTTGGGAGGCTAAGACAAGAGGATTGCTTGAGCCCAGGAGTCTGAGGTTGCAGTGAGCCATGATTTATGCCCTGCACTCCCAACTGGGTGACAGAGCAAGATCCTTACTCAAAAAAAAAAAAAAAAAAAAAAAACAACCAGAGACTTTTACCCTCTGATTCACAACTGAGATTGATCTTAGTACAACTGAAAGTATCCTAAGTAATAGGATAGCTGCTACTAGAAACATAGAGTTTGCTGTTTGGGTCCAACAAAGTAAATGCCTGCTGAAACAAACACAATAGACAATGTTTTTCAGGAAAATGTAAAAATACAGAATCTCCACAACACAAGACTCACTATGTTCAAGATACCATCCAAAATACTTAACATACAAGGAACCAGGAACATGTTACTCATTCTCAGGAGAAAAAACAACCAGTGAAGACCAACACAGAAAAGACGTGGATGCTGGAATTTGCAGACAAGGCTTTTAAAGTATTAAAACTATGCTTAAAGATGTAAAGGCAAACATGCTTGTAATGAATGAAACAACTGACATTCTCAATAGAAAAATAGAGATTATAAAAATCAAACAAGTGTAACATTTCAGAATTGAAAAATACAATATATGAAATAAAGAATTTACTAGACTGGATGTAGAATGAAAATGACAAAGACAAAAATAAGCGAACTTAAATCAGTAGAAATTATCCAATATGAAGATCAAAGAAAAACAAGACTGAAAAATATTTTAAGCCTTAGGGAAATGTGGAATAACAACAAAAGATTTAACATATATGTAGAGTGCCAGAAGGGGAAATGAAAACAAACGGAGCAGAAATAATATTTGAAAATATAATGGTTGAAAATTTTCTATATTTGGTAAATGATACAGATTCAAGACTCTCAGAAAACCCCAATAATAATAAGTACACCAAAGAAATCATAGGTAGGCATATCATAATCAAATGGCTGAAGACCAAAGATAAAATGAAAATCTTAAAAGCACCCAGAGAAAAATGATACACTACCTACAGGAAACAAGATTTCAAATTATTTTCATGTCTCATCAGAAACTATGGAGATCAAAAGACAGAAGGGAAAAAAACAGATCCAAGGTGTTGAAAGGAAAAAAAAAAAAAATCTGTCAACTAAGAATTTTATATCCAGTGAAATATCATTCAAGAATGAAAGCAAAGACACTTCAGACAAAAGAAAACTAAAGAACTTATTGCCAGCAGACCTGCACTACGAAACAATGCTAAATGACTAAAGGAAGTTCTTTGGGCTGAAAGAAAATGGTACCAGATGGAAACTTCACTCTTCAAAAGGCATCAGAAATTTAAAAGTCTGGGTAAGCACAAAAGATTACCCCCTACTAAAAAAAAAAAAGAAGAAGGAGACTGTTCAATGGGAACATTACATAGTAGAGTTAATGGTATATGGAAACGTGATACACAGGATAGTATAGCATAAAGTATGGGAAACAGTCAATGGATGCATATGATGGCAATATTTCTGCATATTACCTGAAAGTGTTATAACATTAAGTCTAAGTAGACTGTGAGATATTAAGAATATATATAAGCCGGGCGCGGTGGCTCAAGCCTGTAATCCCAGCACTTTGGGAGGCCGAGATGGGCGGATCACGAGGTCAGGAGATCGAGACCATCCTGGCTAACACGGTGAAACCCCGTCTCTACTAAAAAATACAAAAAACTAGCCGGCCGAGGTGGCGGGCGCCTGTAGTCCCAGCTACTTGGGAGGCTGAGGCAGGAGAATGGCGTAAACCCGGGAGGTGGAGCTTGCAGTGAGCAGAGATCCGGCCACTGCACTCCAGCCTGGGCGACAGAGCGAGACTCCGTCTCAAAAAAAAAAAAAAATATATATATATATATTAAACACCTAGAAAACCCTAAAGGCTTTTCCAAAAAGCTCTTAGAACTAATAAAAGAATTCAGCAAAGTTCCCAGATATGAAATTAATGTACACAAATCAGTAGCTCTCCTATACACCAACAGTGACCAAGTGAGAATCAAATCAAGATCTCAACTACTTTTAC